GTCCAGATTTCCCCTATTTCTATGAAAAACTCGATTACCTCTGTAAAGGCTGTGTCCAAACAAGGTCAAATTCTGAGGTGTGGGGAGTTGGACATCACTGTATAATTTGGAGGCACCTCAATTCAGCTCATAATGATGTACTTCAAATTTTCACTAAACAGTCCAAAAAAGTGGTAGAATTACTTTCTTATTTTATTGGAATTAAAAAGAAGTTTAAATCTTTGGAAGTCTTCCTTTTGACTATTTGTTTTGCCCCCCCCCCCCAGATAATGCCTTTCAGTGTTGGCTACAAATTCATGTCCTGTGAGTATTAACAGCTGCAGTTCTTTGCATTTATCCTTTGATTAGGACAATTTATCCGCTCTGGCACAGCAATAATTTGTTTATATTTCTAGTGGCTAGGTGTTAAATTCTTAGTAACGAAGTGCAAAATTAAAACTATACATTAAGCTGTTTGGGCCTCCAAGACAGAATTGTAAAATATCTTCCCAAAATTATAGCCACAAACATTGAACTTTGAGTCTGACACTCTTATGTTTGTTTTCCAAAAAGAAGAGGGGCTTTGGTTTTTCTTATTTTTTTATGTTAATGTTCCTGAATGGGGTCAAACCAAAAACCTAAGCTGCTACCTCACTGCCCAGTGGTAGTGGAGGAAGGGACAGCTAAGGCCTGAGACAGTGGCTGAGCTAAACACTGGAGTAAGCAGGACACTTTATATTTTGAGAGGACGGAAGGAAAAGAAACTGTGCTAACATCACTTCCCTCATCATTTTCTAAGAAAATTTCTCTAGGAAAATTCTTCCCCTTAGCACATTCTGTAATATGTGAGGAAAAAGCCTGAGTTTTAGGGAAAAAAAAAAAAAAAATTAGCTTAGTACTTTGCTTCCGTTGTCCCTCGCTTCCTCTCTTTAACTTGTTTTTTGTTGGTTTTTTTTTTAAGCCCCTATACATGGTTTTCCTAGAGTCTTCAATGAATGGAGCCTAATCCTGAGCATTTGCTTATTTTTCTATACTCTTCAGTACTCCGGGAACAATTACAAACTGTTTTTTTCAATCTGGAATCAATTGAAAATGTATTTAAAGAGTATTGTTAAATATGCAAATTATGTTAATTTCTTGGTCTCCAGCCACATTAACCAATTAGAAAGTTGAACTAATTGGGCCATTTATGAGGACAATTGAAAAGGAAATTGAATGGAGTGGTGGTTTGATCTAATAATTAAAGTCCATTCTGAATACCTCATTCTGGGAATTCTACCAACAGTATTTGGTTTTTCTTAGACATGTGAAACCCCATGCTTTTCTTGATTTCAGTTAGCTCCCTGTCCAATTGATAGGCATTTCATTTTGTGGCTTCAGTTTAGAAATTTGTGCAGCTCATGAACAGATTGAATCTAGGCATCATTTATTCATATGCATTTAGGCTATATAAAAAATAATTTAGGATCCTGCCAAAGTCCTAATGTCCAAACTATTGACAAAAAGTTCTTACAAATTATGCTCAAATTGGAATTTAGGTAAGATTCTTTAATATCACTGGACATGACTGAGATTGACACAAAGCTAGGAACAGGCTGTAAATAAATTTGGGGGGCTTATAATAAAAGCACAGTATCTTTTTTGCACAGCTATGTAGAAATGGTGATATTTTCGAATGTTTTGTATTCTGAATTGTAAATTCTATGGAAAAGTTTCTTTTCTCAATTCTATTGAGCAGTATTGTCCTTGGCCATTTTTTTTCCTCCTTAAAACTGCCTTAAAAAATCAAGGTGACTGGGGCTCAGTGGTAGAGCCCTCACCTAGCATGTGCGAGGCCCTGGGTTCAATCCTGGGCACCACATAAAAATAAATAAAATAAAGGTATTGTGTCCAACTACAACTGAAAAATAAATATTTAATTTTTTTTTAAAATCAAGGTACTTCCAGTGGCTCAGGAGGCTGAGATAGTGCCTCAGCAATGGTGAGGCAACTTAGTGAAGCAATTTTGTGAGACCCTGTCTCTAAGTAAATACAAAATAACAATAATAATAATCGGGCTGGAGATGTGACTCCGTGGTCAAGTGCCTCTGAGTTCAATCCCTGATATTCCCCCCAAAAAATCAAGGTAGTGCAGGGCACAGTGGCACATGCCTGTAACCTCAGCAACTCTGGAAGCTGAGGCAGGAGGATCATGAGTTCAAAGCCAGACTCAGCAACTTAGCGAGGCACTAAGCAACTCAGGGAGACCCTGTCTCTAATAATTTATATATGTGTGTGTGTGTGTGTGTGTGTGTGTGTGTGTGATTCTGAGGATGTGGCTCAGTGATTAAGTACCCATGGATTCAATCTCCAGTACCAAAAAAAAAAAATTATATATATATATATATATATATATATATATATATATATATGTATCAAGGTAGCATATTGATTTTAAAAATTAATAAACTGAAAATCAATGTTTTAGTTGTTTCAGAATTTACACTTTTGTCAACAGTATATTCCTAAATCCCAGGCAAAGGATTTTTATGAAAGGAAAAGGAAAAATATGGTTATTACCTATGAAAATTTTTATTAACCTCTCATTTTCTTTTCAAATTATAGTGGGTTTTTGTTTTGGGGAGGTGGAGGTGTTCTGTGCATAGATTTGCACCACATTGAGTCTTTCTATTGACTAAATAATATACAGAATCTGTTTCATTTTGTCTCAATTTCATTGCTTACATTTTCTCTTTTAGAACAATTAAATTTTGTCAAACTTCAGGGACATATCCTCATTCAGAATTTCTAATTTTGTCTTTCGTTGACAAATACACCTTATGCAAATGCAGCCTAAAAAAAACATTTGCTTATGATCAAAACCTTGTGTTTCTATCAAGAGACATTCCTGACATACCACCACTATGTTTTAATGATTGCCTTATAAATGCTATCAGTCATAATGCATTAGGACTGAGGATGTAGAGCTGGTAGAATAAAAAGCTTGACAAGAAGCTTATGTAGTCCACAGGATCTCCTTGAGAGCTGCTGGATTATGGGCATCCCAAAACCTAGTCATTGCACCATATTGTGTAGGTTAAAATTGAGGTGAAGACAATAAACAACCAAAATGGACTTATGTGTGATACCAAAGCATGTAAGCCACTAGTCACAGATAGTGTTGCATCACAATCTGTGTCATCTGGATAAGTTACACACCTTTTCTGAGGCTGCTTTTTTATCTGAATAAAAAAGACAAAAGCAAGGGCCAAGTACAGGGAGGGTGTTTTTCCAGGATCATAGTGAGATGACTAATGTGGAGCCCCTGGGGTAGTACTGGCCCTCAATCCTAATGAATAAATATGTGAGGGAGGCAGGGTGGAAAGAATTGACTCTACTACAAAGAAATTTAGCCAGTACCCTCAGAAAACATTAGCTGAAGCACAGGAACATCTGTGTTCAGAGCCCTACACGATCTGCATCATCTCCTAGAAGTGCCTCTTAAAAAAACCAAACATATTCCTAATTGAATGTTCCACAAACTGTATTAAGGTAAGCATACTAATTTTCACTTTAATTTGTTACATATTAGCATTAGTGATCTGTTCTGGGCAAAGAAAGTGGTCCAGCCCTCATTTTACAATACATAGAGGCAGTTTTCCTCTAACAATATAAAATCATTATACCTTTAGTGGTAGCTTTTTTGGCCTAGTGTTGTTCAGAATTACTTTAAGACATAGATTCCTTCATTAGGAAACTACCCCAATCCTAATTTTTGTAAGTGTCTTGTTAAGTGTTTTCTAGGAATAGTTTGAAACCACATATGTAAGCTACTATGTTGGGTTAGCTTAAAGCACTCACTTCCTATGCCGCTGCAAGTGCTTTTGTCCCAGAACACCTGGCCATTTCCCAGATGTTGTCACCTCTAACTCATAATCTCTGCAACTTAGCTCAACAAGCTTTGCCCTGAACCCATCCACCTTAGAGTAAAGCTGATCTATCACTTATCACTTATTCTTCACATGGAAAGAATTAGCACAGTTAATTATAAACATTAATGTCTTTCACAACTTAGGTATTAGAGTAGATAAACTAGATGGAAATTGCACCCCCAGATCAGGAGAGGATCAAAATTAGTGTGTTATATTTTATGTGCCATATTCCAGTTGGAATGTTAAATCTTTTTAACTCCTAGAACAGATTTGTGTGTGTGTGTGTGTGTGTGTGTGTGTGTGTGTGTGTGTGAGAGAGAGAGAGAGAGAGAGAGAGGTTATAATTCTGTAGTAAGATTGTTGCAGTTGAAGCAAACATTTTCCTTTTGATCCATGATCCTTAAGAAAACAAAGCACTTTATGCTTTCAGATATTTTTTTAAAGAAAAAGTCATGTAAAAGAAAGAAAAAATAATTACAGCATATATTTTACATTTTTTGAAGACTAGATGCCTTTATATTAAGCTTCCCATTGCTTCTATGTTGTTTGAGGAACTTAAACTATGCCTGCAATTTCCTTTATGTCCTTTCATATTTTCCCCACTAGTTAGTACTTAGTAGAGCAACTGTAGGAAGAACACAAGAGCATGCGTGTTGACTCACTGGTGTGCTTGCTCTTCCTTGCTGGGGACCTTCCTGAAGCGGCTCACGTGTAACAGGAATATTTTCTAGGCTACTTCTCACTTTCATCGTTATGATACTGAGCTACAGTTAACTTTGTTCAGGTAATGGTGTGTGTGATCATTTGAAGAGTCTAGTATAATGTCTGAGTACTTGAATTGGACTTGTGAAATAAGGAAGTGGGAAGCTTCCTTTGGAAATTGTGCTGTGATTTACTTTTGCCTTAGGCACATCTGGAACGAAGCCTCTCTTGATGGAAGTAATCAACCTTGGTTAGGTCTGAGGGACAGTGTATTTTTTACTAACTTCCTCCAGAGATTACTGCTAATGTACCAAAACAAAATTTGTGACAGGTAGAACAGAGTTTTAGTAAAATTGACATGTTCTATTAACAGAAATTATATTAACTCAAAATTTATTTTCCTTTTAGTTCGCAGGAAGATGAAAGACCCTTGTCACCTTTCTATTTGAGGTATTTATTTGCTTTTTTGCTGATTTACTGCAGGGAACGGAGGAGGGTTATGGCTTTTGGGGGTTGATTTGTCCACTTTAATATTTTACTGTAGGATATTCTACCCTGGAGTCAGACTAAGCTTTCTGAAGCTGTATTTTATTCTTGATATATCTATCCTTCTTTGGTTTAAGAAATCTTTTTTTTTTTAATGTTTAGTATAGTTGAAAGGACTAAAATTAGATATTTTGTTCTAAATTCACAAATGTCAAGGTGAACATTCTAATTTTAAAAACTGCTTGATGATTAGGCTGTACCATAAATTAAACATCTGACTGGGAATGTGTCATACTAGTAGACCACTTGCCTAGCAAGCTTAAGGGCCCAGGTTCAATCCCCAGTACTGAGTGGGGAAAAAAAAATCTGTTCTCCACCTATAAGAGGTGGGAGGGGGCAAGGCACATCCAAGGAGCAACTTACACAAGACATCCTGGGTAGTAAGAGCTTATTTACTGCAGAGAGGGAAGCGAAACATTTATCAAGTTTGAAGTTAGAGAATTATATTCTGAAGTTTGTAAGACCAAGATGACAACTCTTAAAACCAGTCAGGTTATCACAATTCAAGGTAGATGCTAGACTAGATCACTTTTTTCCCCACCGGCTGAATGCCTGTTGTACTCATGCAAGATTTTCAGTGAACTGTCTGAGTGAGCTATCACCTAGAACCAAGTTCCCCTGGTTGCATTTCATTCCTAATTATCTACCTACCCACTTCAAGACTCAGAAAATATGTCTGAAAATGTAAATTAAATATGTTGGAAATTTCTTAGTCTTTCCTCAATTTTGAAGCCTACTTTTAAAAGAAAATGTCAGGCTATGTGATACATAATTTTTTTTTATTTRCTTATTTTGAATCTAATTTGTTGCAATAGACACAGAGTTAGATTTAGAGTATAATTCTACCACCAATAACTCAGAAATGTGTCATAGGACGTCAGGCTTAGCCAAGTAACTGCTTTTGGGTAATGTTCTGCCCTTTAGAGACTCGTAGCATGTTGCATAATCACTTTGTGGCAAGAGAGGGAACATTTGAGGTTTCAGTTTGAGACAACATGGTGGTCCATTTTTTTTCATCCTGTTTCCTGCCAACCAGATCAGCATATTCTGGTTCATAGGCTAGCTCAACTATGCAATTACTGTGAACAAATGAGCATGTTGTTGCCGAATGCATAGTGTCTCTGGCATTCATTATGTAAATATTCACAGTAATATCAAACAAATGACTATTACCTATTAGTGAAAAGTAATAAATAAAAAGTAAGTTTTACACAATATGGGACACTATAGCACCAGATCATGCTAGCTAATGAGAACTATTTCTCTGAATATCATAATTTAATTACTCTGGGTAATGTCAATCTGTGTTTTTCCTAGAATTGAAAGTATTGGAGGAAATAGATTTTATTAGTCTAAAGTCTTCAAAGAAACATAATGGTGTTATATAGCGTGAAAGTATTTGTAGTTAACTAATAATACGATTCTTTAAAAAATTGTGTATTTTCACTATGAAAGTAAAGTAAAATAATGTATTTACTGAACTTTCAGTAGAAGCTATTTTATCTTCATAGAAATCATAAAAAAAACTAAAATTTAGGAGAAACTGAAATTAGGGGAAAAAAGACTAAAACATGCACACTAGTCCACATTTATAGTACAAAAAGGAAAATTTATCAGCAGGCATTCTTGTCATACGATGGAAATTTAAGCTAAGAGCTATTTCATAAATGCAGAAGCAGTAAGTTTTTAGTCTGAAATTTAAAATTTAAAAATCGTTTCTTTTTCTGAATAACATTATATGATAGTCTTAGAAATAATGTAAGAATTAGTTTGATACAAGTTAATTCAACTTTTTTATCACCCGCTTGACATGAAGGAGGAAGAATCTAATAAAACATGAGCCTTTTTTTTTCAATTATTTGCATGGCTGGTTTTAGACAGACTTGGGTTATTCTAGCATATAACATTTAACTAGAAGAAAGAAAACATGATTGTTAATTGTGATTAAGCTCCAGATTTGGCAGGGGAGGGGGGCACACTAGAAACATGACATGTCTATTGATAATTATAAATTAGTGCACACTTTGGGTTCTAAATATATTTACATACATTTCTGTAGCTTCCTTGTCTTTTCTGTCTTTCCCTCCCACCTTATTACTTAAGAGTCCTTTAATGCAATGCTCAAAAGGGGAGCTATTGCAAGACTCAGGAATTCCTAAGTGATTTGTTAACATGATGAGAAATTATACWGGCCCTTTTAAATTCAGAATAACATTGTATGTCTTTAGAAAGCAAAAAGCAATTGATAGTTACAAACTGCTCTCTGCCCTGACTAGGAATATTGAGAATTATATATGGTATTTTGATAGTGTTGATTGGCCAGGGTTTTCTCAAAAGGAGAAATCAAGAGATGAGACACATCTGCTGAGATGGGTACTCACAGAAGATACATTCACCCATGAATAACCAGGCAGAGGGGATGGGGTGGTCAACTGGTCAGTAGTGAGGTGTTCAGTTTGGTGGTTAATTCTGAAAGGTCAGCATGAGGTGCAACAATAAACTTTTGTTACTATAAGTCTTGGAGTGGGCAGTCCTCAGGGAAAACAGAAGATAAGAACAGAGCAGCCCCCTAGTCTCAAAGGAAGGAGAGTAGATGATAAAAGTTGATCACGGGAACCCAGCTTTTGGAGTGGAGATAAGCAGTGTTGGTGTCTTGGTAGGGGCAGAGATGCAGGGCACATGCAATTGTTACCTTGCTCCATTTGTCACCTTTATAGAATTTCGGTTTCTGCAGCTTGAAATTTTCTCTTAAAAGTGACTGCTGAACTACATGTTAGTCTATTGTACATTTCAGTTGCTTTCCATCCTTTCTGTAATGAAGTAGGGCTGTTAGAGTCAGGCACTCATTTTTATTCTAAATCAAACATCTGCTGTGATAACAACTCTGTCTTTTCTAACTGCTACTTCTTTAGCTTAGCTTAAATCAACAGAGCACCATTTGTCTTTCTTTGAAAAGGAAGGAAATAGTAGCTACAAATCAACACCTGCCACCATCCTGTGTCAAGTTTATTGCAGTTACAGTAGCTCAAACAGTAGGTGTCATTGTTCCCCAGATTGCTTGGTAGGGATTAACCAACCCTGTTGAAATGTTTGGACAAGGACAGGTTGTGCCACCCCATCACGAGATTGCAGCAAAACAAACATGTACCTGCAAACTTAAAGTGAAGAACATTCTTGGCAAGGATGCCCATATCATGGTCTCTTTCACAGTGTAAACTGGAATCCAAAAACAGAAGCCCCTATCTCAGTTGCTCTAATTAGCATCAAAGCAACTTGCTTTTGGTGTTTTTCCATGCCATGTTCATTCAGTCGGATGGTGTCTGCAATTTTTTTGCCTGGCATCCCGTCAGATCTGCTGCTAGTTCTGCTTTCATTGACTGAGGTTTCATGTTTCTTCTTGATTTCTGGGGTTGGTTTCCACTGGAACTAGAGTTCTTGATTTCCAATTTCTGTTTCTCCTCATCTTTACCTTTTCCCACCTCACCTATACTGCCTTCAGGTACCTGTGGCCAAGATCAGACTTATCCTCATCTCATCCCATGAGAGTTCTACCCTTGAATTCCCTCTACAAATTCCTGGATTGTTTGGATGAATCGATAAATAGATAAATAGATAGACATAAATATAGATTGATAGAACCTGTGTTTCCTGTACTTTGTCAAAATTCTATGTATGTCCCTCAGGGCCATATGCCTGTAACCAGTCTTTATTCACTGGACTTTCACCAGCTCATGTGGCTTTTAAAATACCTGCTCCTGATGTGGTGACTGTACATCTGTCTTCCAGCAAGGCATTATCTTTCTTATTTCCCTGTTCTCATCTAAAGCTCCATCAGAATCCTGGAGTTGACAGGCTTTTTAAAACCTCAGTCCAAGTTTTAACATGATACAAACTGAAATAAATTACTACTTTAGCAGACTTGGAATTACTTAGGGTCAGTTTCATGAAAGCAATTTTATCTGCTTTCTAACTTTCCTGAAACAACTTAAGAGATTTATTTCCAAGTTAACTGCTAGGCATACAAATTCATCTTTAGGATGCTGTTCGTTTTTAATTGCTAGAACCTAGGCCTCATCAATCTTATGAAAGACTCTTAATCATTCCTTATGTTTCAGGAAAAATTTRGCTTTGGATAAATTCATATTAAATTTCTTTCTGATATTAAATGGTYTAGAAATTATATCACATCATCCCTATTTTTCTGATATGGAGGGGAAAAAACTTCTATTAAAGCATTTTTAGGTGACTTTTTGGCAGAAATATCTTTCTAAACAACTTGTGCTAGAATTTGTTTTTTTTTCCATTTCATTAATTTTAATTTTTAATAGTTTTTCTTCTTAAAAGTATTTGTGCTTCCTAAACATCTTTTTCAAGGTAAAATCTGTCATTGTCAAGTGGAAGAATGTCAGTGTAGCCAGTGTAGCATGCCAGGCATCATATTTGTTGGGAACCTTTTTAAGGCCACTGACTAATCAGCAGAACAAGCAAGCAGACCAGTTATTTAGTATCTACTTGATTTTTTTTTTTTACCAAGATGATAAAGATCAGCTAGGTATTGGGCATCCTTAGACATAAGTAAGTATTTGTTAAAATTTTGGTTTGCATGTCCCTTTGGACTGGAGTACTGACTCTAAGCTGAAGGGGCAGGCATACTTCCTCTGCCTATGGAGCTCTGTTATTTGAGCTTTATTGTGATAAAATASAAATAACAGCCAGGCACTGTGGTGCACACTTGTAATCCTAGAGGTTCAGGAGGCTGAGACAGGAGGATAAGGAGTTCAAAGACAGACTCAGCAACTTAGAGAGGCCCTAAGCAACTCAGTGAGACTCAGTCTCTAAATAAAATACAAAAAAAGGCTGGGGATGTGGCTCAGTGGTTAAGCACCCCTGATCTCAATCCCTGG